CGCTACGGAATTGCAGAGCACAACGCTCCCAGTCCAGCTGCGGAACATGTGATGCCTGTACACATAACTGCGACAATACCGTGCTTGTGCACCTACCCCGCTTTGCTGTTGTTTTGTATACTTCCTTGCATATGAATATGATTTCACTGAGACTGCCTGGAACGTTCAATATATCCATGATTGTACTTGTTCCATGGCCGCATCAAAACGCAGTGGCATCTGGGGACGTTACTACAACGGTTTGTCAACAGAGCGTTGTACAACTGGATTATGGCTCTTTTCACAAACATTCAGTCAGAGCAACAAGCAAAGGACGTTTTGGATCGATGGCGGAGAAATCGGAAACATCTTCCTTCCGAAATTCGGTTAAAGGTCGCAAACACTTTGCACAGCTCAACTATTAAAGCAACTGAAGCTGCAAGCATACCGATGAATGTACAAAAGCGTAACTTGACTGTTGCTTTAATTGACTCTGACGTTGGTCTAAACGAAGTCTGGGACGCACCTTGGCCGAATCAAGTTACAAACTAGGTGTCATTGACGCATAAAAATAACGAGTAACTGCCGACCTCCCATCGGTCGGCATTCTCCCACACTTGACAGCTTCACCCTTCTGCGAGCTCCTAGAGACCGAGAAACTGGCCTGCTTGTATACGAATGCTAAGGGTCTTTCTAACAAACTGGCTGAACTGAAAGATCGCTAAGCTTCCGGGACGTATGATGTCATTGGTATCACCGAGACATGGTTGCACACGGGAAAGACGGACGCTGAATTTTCGCTGCCCGGCATGTCGCTGACCCGGAACCACAGGCTCACAAAAGGAGGAGGGGTAATCCTGTACTACCGAAACGACTTACAGTGCGAAGCCGTGGAGGATTCAGACTCGCAGTTCCCCGACTCTCTTTGGTGCGGGTTACAGTTAAAAGGCAGGGACGCTTGCGTTATTGTCTTCGTGTACCGCGCCCCTAACTCAACCCCCGAAATCGACTACCACCTAATGGCTGCTTTAAGGTGCAGTTTACAACAAAAGTACACTCACATTCTTATCATGGGTGATTTCAACCTACATTGTTTAGAAACGCTGCCACGAACGGAGAACAATTCAAAACCGATTTACAAGATCTAGTAACTACTGTTCCTCTTTACAATCACATCACTTTGCCCACTCGGTTCAGAACTTGTAACAGACCATTTGTTCTGGATCTAGTGCTTACCAACGAGGAGCATATGATTGATGCGTTGGTTTTAGACTGCCCGTTGGGTCGCAGTGATCACGCAGTCATCAGTTTCAACTTCGTCTGCTATGCCGAATATCTGAATGATAACGATGAGACTGTGCGAACCATCACAAAGTACGACCGACTCGCCCAGCTCGTCAGCACCACAACATGGTCCTTCCTCGAAGAAGAACCCCAGAAGTCGCCTGGCTCGAGTTCGTCAAAAATTTCAGTCAGCTGATTGCACAGGCTTCAGAGATAAAAGCTTGCAATAAGTGCAAATCAGTTTCTTTCGTTAGGAGCAGAACTCAGAAACGGATGACGGTGCGCAAAGCAGCATGGCGAGTGTACAGAGAAGCTCCAGCACCAGAAACGTGGGACAACTACCTAGCCCAACGCAATCACTGCACTAAACTGTTAAGAAAAGACAAAGCCGCCTATCAGCAGAACATCACAAAAACCTTCAGCGCTAACCACAAACTGCTGTACAAGCACGTTAATAGCCTACGAAAGGTGAGGCAAGGATTTCCTCAACTCAGGACGGCTAATGGCCCAACAAGAACGTCTATGGAAGCTGCAAACGCGTTGCAGATGCAATACGCCCCCACGTTTCAAAGAGTATTGCCACCAAGCGATCTATCAAGATTGCTTTCTCCTTGCCAGGACTAACCCACATCACTTTTACCGCGGAGGCTGTATTGCAAAAGCTGACGTCTCTACGCAAACACAGCTCGCCGGGTGTCGACACTATTCGTCCAGAGGCATTGGGAGCAGCAGCAAGCCAACTGGCAGGACATTTAGCTCAGTTTTTCCAGCGCTGCTTAGACCAGAACCAAGTTCCCGCCATGTGAAAGCTTGGAATAATAAGCCCGATCCACAAAGGTGGAAGTAGAACTGATCCCTCCAACTACCGCCCAGTATCCCTTCTTCCTATACTCTCCAAGATCATGGAATCCATAATTGCTGATGCACTGGTGTGTTATCTGGAAAACTGTAACACCATCACGCCTGAGCAGCGCGGTTTCTGCCGATAGCGGTCATGCACAACGAAGTGACTAATCGCACGAAGTAGTTGGACCGAGGCAGCTGACGCTGGAGAGGGTGTTGATGTGATCTACCTGGATTTTTCCAAGGCTTTCGATCGTCTAGACCATCGCATACTACTATCCAAGCTGCAGCATTACGGGATCGGAGAAACTCTTTTAAGTTGGATCGCTAACTTTCTATTTCAACGGCAATTAGTGGTCAGAGTTCGGAGCTCTTTATCAGACCCTGTACAAGTCGAGTGTGGTGTGCCGCAAGGCTCCATTCTAGGTCCACGTTTGTTTTTGGTGTTTATTAATGACCTTGCACAGGAATCGCTTCAAACTTCCTAATGTTTGCCGACGATATCAAGATCTGGCGCAGGATCCAGGAGAACACCGACCAACATGTGCTTCAGAGTGTATTAGATACGGTGTATCAACGGTCGACCCAAAACTCACTACATTTCAACGTCAGTAAACGCAAGGCGCTTTCCATCCGACATCAGAGCAGCTAATCATACCGACTCGGAACGAATAAACTACAACAATCAACTCTCGAACGTGACTTGAGTGTCTTAGTTCAAGATGACTTGGCTTGCTCCAGGCAATCCGAAAAGGCCTCGAAGACTGTGAACCAACACGTGGGGCTGTTGAGGCGGGCGTTTGGACAAATAAACAGCGCCATATTTCGACAAATGCTCAGTGCGTATGTTCGCCCCCACGTCCAATACGCAATTCAAGCCTGACATCCATGGCTGAAACACGACCTTAATGCATTGGAGCAGTCACAACGCCGAGCATCTAAGAACGTAACTGGAATGCGCAATGTCTCTTATCAGGAGAGGCTACAACGACTGGGATTGTTCAGTGGAAGCTATCGCAGACTACGAGACGATCTTATCATGGCATACCTGATTCTGCGAGACTCACATCATGTGTGCCGCTCTTTACTACAACTCAGCAGCAATACAAACCTGAGGGGCCACTCATTAAAACTCGCAGAAAAATACAGTCGTCTGGAGTGTCGAAGAAAGTTCTTTTCCATTCGTGTCTGTCACCCGTGGAATGCTCTCCCAGAATCGATCGTCTCTGCACCGACACTAACAGTATTTAAAAGACGGTTACACGATGCACTCATCCACTTACACTTTGTCACTTAACACTACGTCTTCATCCTATACCTGGAGTTTACCATGGAATTATTTGTTGTTAACTGTGGGTGCTGTGAACCTAAGAGGATCGCAGGACTGCGGCGAAGCAAACCATAAGTCCTCATTTTCATATTTAAAGTATTAACTATTTTACTATCCTTATCATGCTTATTGTTATGTTGATATCCCCACCAACTATCCAACGAGACTTGTAAAACAACGCTTCTTAACCAGTATAAATTTATTGTTCATTGTTCAGTATGCATTCCTAAGTCTCTAATGCAAATCACCGTTAGTTTATGTAGCAATGAGACCACACATGGTAACATGCTCTCAAGCGAAATTGACATGTGGGAAACAGCTCTGGATGTGTTCTGCTAACAGCGGTCCGCATTGTCTGTCATTTCCAACAATCTGACTGGCTTAATTACAATGAGCTACATAATTTGCCTTAGTGTGTTGCAGTATCCTTTCTCATGTATGTCGAGTTTGGTTGCGGCTACCAAACTATACACGGAATCTATTTATTACTCAACCTCATTGCGGTCTATTTTAGCTTTTATATTTTGTGATAATATTTTGACCTTTACGCCCACGTGATTTTGAAAGACATGGTATTGATGAATTTTTCATCTTTCCTTTCATTTCCTCCGTTTACTATTGCACATATTTTCCTATCTTCTTCCGTGCTGCTTTCGTTGCGTGTTGTTCTGCTTTGTGAGTTATTTATTATTACCTCTGTTGCTACTTAGCGCAAGCAAATGTGGGGGAATTTTTCAGTAGCATGTTATATACTGTCTTCATTCCTCTTGCATCTCTAGTTGCTGTTGCCGTTGTACATTTTGCATCAAGTCTTGATTACTTGGATAATATAACTGTGTCTGACCAGCGCCTGATTATTTGTTTATTTCCTATGAACATTTTTATATTTATCACTTGCAACGACTTACTTACTTTCCTATGTACCTTATAGATTTCTCTAACATGTGTTATTGAAACATGGTATATTATTTAAGTGTTCATGTATGTTCTCTCTGTGCATACTCTACGTTGTAGAGAAAAACGCTATTTTTATTCTCAAGTTACTCTAAATCTTATTTTTAGTCATTTTTCTTAACATTTGGTAATTTATGGATTCAGTGCGCTCGATCGGAACGCAAGTAGGGTTCATTTTCGCGTAACATAATTACAAGCTTCTCACTCACACATATATTTCTCGGGTTCACAAAAACGGAAAGATCACTCTTAGTTGCCGCGAATCCTTAACAGTCGGATCACTTTGTACTAGGCAAACTAGTATGCATTTTTAACGCGGGAGTTGCGAGCTGAGTACATGCGGTGCTAGATGAAATTGTTATCTCGGAAATCAGTTTACGCATTTACAAATGAAGCGACGTAGTAGACCATATGAAAATTCGATGATAGATTTTTATGGAGTTATTACGACAGCATGCGCGAATATTGACTCACTATCTTTGTGCATCAGCGGTATTTGCGCTGTAAGAGAAACCAAGCTTTATTGCAACAAAGCAAGCAGCATTGATAACTACGCTACTAAACGGGTGATAATATTGCAAAATTATCAGTGAGTTAATCATATAACCGACTAACAATACTTACTGAAACGGTAATGAGCACTTGTAATATCATATGTCGCCCATGGATTCGCTTTTGTAGACTCAAATGCACTGATAACTAGACTCTTGTTCCAGCTGTCACTGCCCATGGAATTAAACAACACCTGAAAGTATCCCACTGCGAAAATCCGATGTGGCCCTTTCACCGAACAATGAACAATCGATTGTTGCAGCTGAATGAATTGTTTGGCCCATATTACAACCTGTAATGAAAAGGGTATGTGCACACATGCGCATGAATTAATTCGCCACATTTGAATATCTAATATCTGACTACATTGGTAGAGCACGAGTAGATTAGATTTGGTGATTCAAGCTAAACGTGAGCAAATCACGGGAGTGCCTTTTTAATTCGGGCATCATTTCTTTACATTATCCACGTTAGATAAATTAGTTTCGCAAGGATAAATGGACAGATAGTGAAAGGTAGTTGTTCAATAAAATTCTGTCACTGAAACCAAACTACTCTATTTAGATGTTGAACAGAATAACGGAGATATGGCGAACAACCCACGCGCTAATGCTTATGAGCACGAGATTTTACATTAACTAAAAAGAAGTATGCCGAAAGATTTTATGAAACCGTTACATTTTGAATGGATGAAAACCCGTGTCGGTTCGTTGCTCGGTCGAGTTATTACAGCCTTCTCTAATGATTTTTCAATCCGTGTAACTTTGGCCTTTCTGATGACACACGTTTGATTAATTACTGTTGATAATGTAAATGCTAAAAAGTTACCCATTTTCGTTCATAAAGCGCACACTGACTTGACTTGATCTTTCAAACGTTTAGTAAGCAATGGCAAGCAGCAGCATCTACAAACACTTCTATACGGAAAAGTTCGGTGATTTATCTATTCCGGAAGGATTTACGGCAGATTTGATCCGGAAGTTGTGAAAGCCACTTTTCACCGAAAGTGCATTTGCATTTGAACAAAGCACATGAGACAGCTGTTACTGCTGCTTTTAGCAGTCGAGGTATTACTGCGATATTTACTGAAAATTTCACGCGGTCGGTAGTGTACCCGTAGGATACTAACTCTGATGTGAATTGATATAGTGTTCTAAATTCGGATCCTCGCCAAACTGTCTCTTCACCAGAACGTATACCATTTGTTTTCTAATCAAACGTTGATCAACGTTGGTTTCTCCTCGCCACTGGACAAGTGAAAGGTCGTATCTGTGTTAGAGGTCCTTCCGTGTGGTTGAATGGTTGCTCTTAATCCTAATAGCCTTGCAAGGTGAACAATATTTCGTGTACTCCGGAATAGGACAAGGATAAACTATTTAACTTTGGTACCATTGTAATCTGCCGAACTCGGTAATATAGGATACAGGAACTGTCCATTAATTTACACGTCTTAGGTTCAACTTGCTTTCAGGCAACCTAAGTTGACCGGCTTCAAGAATGCAGTGTTTGGCATGCAGTGGGCTTATGTCAACCCGTGACCCATAACAAGGATTCGCCTGTGAAATGTAGGTTTGATATTCGCGCGTCCGTTTGTATTAATTTATCTCACTGTATCAGAATAACATAGACGAGTTCATCACTAGGTGATTTGTGTACACCAAGCGATTTCAAATAGCATGGTAAATCGGGTCTGTAGATGTTTTGCACAATAGATGTGCACATTGGATGTTAAAACTATAGGATGCGTGTCGTTTTAATCACTGCTTCCTTAGCTAGAGTTAACTGCATACATAAGTCTATTACAAACTTCTGAAGAGCGCTGCCGCATGTGCGCCGCAGTATGCAGTCCACAACTGATCTGCAATGAGCTGATCTCGTGTGCGTCACTTTGACATACATCTACCCAAAAATTCTCTAGACGTGAGGGAAAAATCAGTAGTTTACAGTTGCATGGGGAAGCTGTGTTCAAAATCCATACTGCATACCTAAAATCAACTGGTTCAACTAGTCCTGCTATATATGCTTACACAGTTTTCTAATATTATACTTTAGGAAATGGCAGATATATAAGGTATAATATCTGTCTATGGTAAAAGTTTTAGAGTGCTTTGCGTAACGAGCAGCATGGAGGCCTAGGATTTGTCTAAACATGAAAATGCATAAATGCTAAACCTAAGTTTGGAAATAACCCAGAGAAGATACAACCCGTTACGCCGTGAAGGATGCCTAGGCAAGGCGTATAGGAAAGCTCATTCCATAACCAAGTCTGCAACTATATTTTACTGGGTTATAAAAATTTCATCTGAGCTTCGCACACAAGATAAAGGAAAATCTGGTTGTTCGGAGTGTTCTTGTTAAGCTACTGATAATAACCTATTTAAACTGTGTAAAAACCTTAAAACGATGCACAGTTGCTCCACCTGCTGAGCGTAACAAACCTTGTCGTTTGGAAGACTAGGAGTATCAAGTGGGAGAGTGAATGAATGATAAAGGTTTTACCTTCAGCTAGATATATCAGACGTAGTATTTTTGGGTCCAAGTGTTCGGACTCGTGAAATTCGCTTTTAGAGAAGAGCTAATGTAAGGTGGCTTGGTATTAAACACTTTTCGCTGCTTACTTACTCAGCAACTAATTGGTCTGTGCGGTTTCACCCACTCAGTTTCGGGGCTGAAACGATTGTGTGCTAAGCAAATTTCGGCATAATGGAAGTATGAAAACGTTGCGCTTTTGTCCAATTGTTCTTTCTATTCAATCCGTCGTGTCTCAAGATATTTTTTTGGTGTATTGTCTGCCAAGGCTTTACATAGATCGATAAAATGATTTTACTAGATTAACACATTCTGTGATACTTCTAGAAAAGGCTGCCCAATTTGTCAGTACGTTTACAGACTTATCTACCGAATTCTCGCCGTCATGTTGATATTAGTAAGAGACAACTTAAATGTTTAACACATTTGTACATTAGGGCCTAAATCCTCCCTGTCTATCTATTCGTAATTTCCGAATCTTGCGTCAAAAGTACTGCTCAGGTATGTACTCATAAATCAACATCAGTTATGAGAAGAAACGCAACTCCGTAAGACAGTTTTAACTGCTACCGTAAAAACCATTGAGGTGAGACGTTTAGGAAGTAGAGCCAGAGGATAAGATATGCGAGAAATTCTCTTCCGTTCCACCTGACCTGACAAACATTAAGACAAGCTTCAAATTCAGGGTATAATGTTCTCATACTGCAACTTATCGCAATTTTATGCTACCGTACCTCTCAAAACTATTTGCTGACAAAACGAACAGCATCATTTATACGAGCATTTGGTTGCTTGAGTGATACGCTTACAAATTGGTGTTGGACACTTTTTTCGTTGGTATTCATTGATTCAGTTTATTTCTTCCTTTGCAGTGATATTTTAAAATGCTAAAAGTGAACCCACCGGGTTGAAATATATTACATTTATTGGATTTGATTTGAGTATCCTGAAGTCGTTCATAATGCATGTCATACCACCAACATATACCCGCGTTCAGCCCCAAATGCAAGGTACAAAACATCTGAATAGGCCTTGTAACTTCATGGCTGCAATCGTTACCGGATTTCATAAAAGGCTGACTCGCTCTAGTAACGTTCTCATCACCATTCCCATTAATATGTATGGTATCGCTAGAGCATTTTTTGCACGGGTCATTTAGTTGCACTCTTTCTGCGAACAGATTGTAATGCATACTCTCAAGGTGGACCGCGAATCATATTGAAGCGAAGCTTATCAACACGATCGATGGGACCGTAGTTAAAGCCGAACAACATCATGTGATACCCGCAATGAGAACACTGCTCTCCCTCTGGATTCCGGCATGTTTGATCTAAGCAAATATATAGAGTAAGCATCGAAACTGGGACCTTTTCGTGTTTACCGGAAGCGCTATTCCCAAGTCACCAAGTGACGGCTGGCAGTCATGTTACAATGGTTAAAGACTAAATGTGCTATTGGGAGTCACAAGGAAAATTCTCACAAACAGAGTTTCTCGCCGTTGCCAAGGTTAAATACACTCGCGATTGCACGACGCTCCACTGAAAATCGGACTCTTGTGATAGCGGACACTTACTTCAACAGCATATTTTTCGGAGAAGTACAAAATAGGACATGTTGGAAAGATCGTGGTATCAAAACGACTGAGGCCACTCTGAAGCAAGCATCTTTACTCAGAGGATTATCCAGATAATGTTTAATTCTATCGAGATCTCCCTGGAAAGTGCCTACTCTGTTTAGTCAAACCAAAGATATAGTTTTGGAGAAAACCACGCTCGGAGTTTCATGCATCGAATCGCTTTTGCCCACCGCGCAAAACAATAACAAAATCCCCCAAAAACCCAGAACCTATCGATCTATTGCCTAAACAAAACGCTATAACTATCCGGAATAATGCTAGCCCGAGAAAGATCCTGACAACATACAGGCATATCTACGGGCTTACAAAGTAGATAGGTGTATGCAAGTAATAAGTGTGTACCTACGTTTTAATCGACCATGCCGACTGGAATAAATATCCAACCGTCTTAATAGTAGCATACCCTCCACCGCCCATGCGAATGTTTGATAAATATGTTAGCAAATCTACGTGCTCCTAGCGTTATAAATTGAGCCGGCTTACTCTATTAACTGAGCTATCTCACATCACCAGAAATTTATCTTGTCAACCTTGCGTGGTTGACGAACAACACTGTAAGATCTACTGCCCCATGCAGCTCTGGACACAACTCACATGCGTTACCTTTTACCACGACCCAACTAGATCATAATTGAGCCAAGAACGGAACCAAATGCAACCACACCTGATATTCAGATTTTCCAGTCTAGATAAGTATTTCGACATAAACTGCAACTTAAAGCTGTTTAAATTAGGTTAATTATAGTGGGGGCGCAGTATCTCCAGTTTTATAACATCGACACTACTACCACCACACCCACTGTGGCTATCAACGCATGCAGCATCAAGGCTATATCCGTATTATTAATGGAATACCGTAGAATACTGAATATAATCCCATCCATGGATAGACCGACAGTATAAATATGCAATATCAAATTTTTTCAAAGTTCTTAGTCGTTATATTAGCCTACCAATGAAAAAATCAGCAGAAGGAGACGAAACTTTTGCTCCACGGTTTTGACGCCGGCACTACTTCTCTCTCCCTTGAGTGTGTTTAAACAAAACCTGCTCTACGATTAGTCAGTTAAGGTGGCCGTATTGTATAAGCCCCTTTGATTCGACACTCAAAATAGCGCTGACACCAAGTCACAGGATCCAGCGGGGAGGGAATTTGCTATCCATTCTTGTGACCTTTCAAAGTCATTGAAAAGCGTAAAATGTCTCAACATAAACGAGATGCAGCCCGCAAGGCAGCGTAGCCACGGTACGAGCAAATGAGGCACTTCAAATCCTTGTCTGGAATACCGTCCGTCACTAGCGGGTGGTACTATGCAGCGATAGGGACAGAGATGTGCAGTGAATCCCTGGTGTATACTACATACATTATTTTTAATCAGAGTATAGCCTTTCATAAACCAACTCACAACTACCAGCATGAAAAATGGTCTAAACTTTATCGGCTTAAATTCAGTAGTATAAGATAACCAAACCAAAGAACAAGACACAATGAAGGTGCTTCTCATTAGTGCTCGCTCGTTGGATAATAAAATAAACACTTTACGTTGTCTGATTACACTTTGAGCTCATGTGTTACTACTCATCGTTATGACATAGTACGACCCCCATATTCTAGACCTGCTTTAAAAAATAGTGGGCTATTCATCATTTGTAGTGGTCGATACATTGGTAAGGGGGCGGTTGTAGTGTTTATACTCGGGACAAGCTACGCACTTAATTGATGGTATGCCCCGACTATGCATAATAAATTAACTTGTGTTAATTTTCGCGGAGATAGTTTACTTTCGAGACTTGACTGGGTGCAATTCCAATACTCTTCACTTCCGTTTCTTTTAATGCTTCTGAAGTGTCCTACAGTTAAAAGATACTTGGGGTGACATTCATTCGTCACTGATTTCTTTGGTAGCGGGTATGGTGCTACCTATTTTAAGTCCAAGGATGGGCGCAACTGCTTCCTAAGTCTACCAGTGAAAAGAAAAATTTAGGTCTCAGATCTACCAGATACACACTTCGTGTGTTGATGTGTCATCTCGATTCCAAGGTAGCCGTGTATCTCAGTTACACGGTATCAGACGCCGTCCCACACGGCACCATACTACTACTTGGAGATCCCACTTGGGACCATAGAGAGGTAAGCAGGGAAAGGTACGCTATACTACTTCTAATAATGAAACGAAATTTGTATTTACCAACCAGAGATCCACAGGTTGCAGCATATGAATATCTAATGCTTTCTTGATAGCTTTACATCATTGGTACCGGGCTCCGATAGGTAGGATTCCACGAACACTACGCGCGAAACAAACCTTCTGCATAAGCTGAAAATTCTATGCTTCGATTTACGACTGAGTTGCGACTTTTCTTTGCCCATCATAAAGGATAATTTATTTGACCAGTTGGATTCGATTCCGATACTAAAAGAAGATGAACTAGCATTGAAAGGCGATAATTAACCTGAAGCCTTTATCAAGCGGATAAAGAACAGAAACAGCTGTTAAGTCCAACATTTAGCATACATCTTACTACCCGACAACTTTACAGCAGGGAGCACACAATAATAGAAACTACCAGGGAGCAAACTTTATTCACCTTTTTCGCTATCGCAAACAATAAAATTAAGCTCAATTTTTCTGCTGGTATTGTGTAACTGAACACAAAGGAACTCGACTGCAGCGACATTCGGTTTCATTTTTATCGGTCATGATCTTCATTTCATCTTGGACCACAAAACTCACCAACTTTATTATGAAAATTTCGTGACCAGGAAACGTCGTAACCATGTTAGTTATATTGCTTATCTATGAAGTTAGTGGTATTCCTGCTACATTGAAAGTTTGCCATCTTAGGGCTTGAACTTAAGTGTTAAACAAAACTAAGTATTGAAAATTATCGCCTAATTGGCCATAAACCGAATGGTGGGTCGTTTGGAGTACATGTTGTGTTATTGGATTGCGACGCGCAATCTCAGAGTAGACCGCGATTCACATTGAAGTGAACCGTGGTTAATGTGAGCACTAGGACCGTAGCCGAAGCAGATGGAATTTGGGTGTTGCCCGCCACAAACCGGTTTTTAAAAGAATTCTATAGAGGATTGTGAAAGAGAAAACAGTTATTCAGTTAACAAAATCAGAGCTACATAGATGTGCTTGCTCAGTCAAACCGAAATTATGTTTTTAGTTGGAATTGTGGGTACATGGAGTTGGCTGCATGTTCATCTGTTACTGCAACAGCAGTTAACACGTTTAATATGTAAAGCGTTTGTCAAGGAGCGAAAAAGCATGCTTATACATAGCCGACGAATATTGAATGAGAAATGTGTTCAAGCCAACAAAGTTAGCTGTTAGTTGGTGGGAAGTCTGATTCATGCTTAGAAAAAGCTTATCTACCCACCGACATTATTATCACAAGGTTAAAAAACAGGAAGTCTCTCTGCAAAGCTTGAGGCAAAAACCTCTTGACAGCGCCAAGAATATTCATTTTTGCTCGAAAACAAATTGCATCACCCAAATCTGCATGTTGACTGCATTTTTATGCGTCACTTACTAACTAAAATATATTAATTGCCATGAGGTAAGTACTACCTCGATCATTCAATTTTCGGCTTCAGGTTAACGCAATAACAATGGCAGCCAAACGCAACAGTCTACTTTATAAAAGTGCAAACGGACTGCAAAAAGCACTTGCTCGCGAGGTGTTAAATCTAAGATATATATCAATCAACACAGTGACAAGTAGGCCGAGTAAAAGCTTTCCATGCAAAATTACAGTTTTATTGCAAATGCTAAGGTTAACGTTCAGTACGTTTCCTGCTCATGGCCATGAAACAGACCAGGCTATAGCTACCTGACGAGTCCAAACTAGGGCAGGACGCATTGTGGGATGCATTGCTGTAAGAGAGCGAGACCTCAAGCCTCATATAAAGTACTTAGACTTGAACGTGTTACAAAAATTAACGCACGTGTTGTCTAGTTACTGGGCTTATACAAACAGAGAAGCAGACTTTAAGCCACGGGTTCACCATCAGTCATGACAAAGCGTCAGGCTAATAGTCTGCTACTTAATGCGAAACACCAACTGAAACAACGGAAACATTATTAACTTCCCTTTCTTTTCTCTCTCGCGATCGCCACAAGTGCACTTTAACATGCAAATTCAGTGTCATCTACATACTCACTATCATTCATAATAGCATGGTCGTTGTCATAATCAACTTCATCGTCAAAGTCATGGACACCATGAGCATCGCTTTTAGCATCAAGTCTTTTCCGTTAACATAGGTAGTTTCATCATTATCATCGAGCAGATGGACCTAACTATCGTGCATTTCAAGGGCGATACCCATAATAACAATAGGATGGAAAGGGGCGATTAGCTAGTTCCTGCACGCGTGTTATCACGAATGTAAAGTGGCTAGAGACGGTATTATAGATAATTTATTCCGATGACTATAATGTTGATAAACTTACATCATCGCATATGCTGCTTTCAATATCCATCAACTTATCGCGATGGTTGAACTCACTGCGCCACCCAATGAATTCACCATTTTCATACACCTCCAGACCAATCCGAATAGCTGCAGCGGGCAAGAACAACGTAGAAATTTACAGAAATGGTTCAGGCGAAGTTGGGATCGGTTTCATAAAGATAGCATAAACATACTAGTCACGCAAGCCCACAAATAATAGAACAATATTACCCATTTCCGTTTCTTTTAGACACACTTGTACTATCCAGTTTTCCAGTTCGATAGCTGGTGACAAATCATGACTAACCTGGTTATAACAAGTGTAAGAGTAATTTAAACGTGAACGGGACAGCTTGTATCACGATAATAGCACTCATCTCTCAGAGCCACTTGTAATACTCTCCGTATCGCAACTATATCCTGTCTTTTTATCACGCGTACTAATTTACCCAAACGGGAGTGAACAGCCGGTTTAATACTCGGATGCTGGATTGAACATGCAAATTTTCCTTTGCTGCTTTTAATTGTCATTTCTCAATGATGCTTTTTTGCCTAATTATCTGAAGCGTTGATGTGAAAGTGCCGAAACTGCACATACACAGTTGGATAAAGAATGACTTGAGTTGATTACACTAATCCCAGAGCACAGTGTATTCTAGTAGCTATAATCAACTGTTACAGGGTAAGCTCCGATAAACCTTCGGGTTTACGAATATATGATGACTGTTTATCTCAGTAAATCCGTGAACAATCACATAATAAATATACACGTTTGTCACGCGAAGCTTGGCAATACCGACTGACTAACTTTTACTTTATTGCTATAGTTGAGCAATCGAGGTCTCCGTATGGACTGCGAATATACTAAGCGATTTGCAAAATCGGAGGGAGATATCTAACCTGAGAGTCAAATGGTTTTATTTGTAGCAATTAATTATAAATACCATGAGGAAGTTTTTCGTACACTTACTATAATGTTAAGTCTAATCTCAATTACAAAAGAGTATATGAGGCAAGTGAGTGCTCAAGCAAGCTACGGACGTGCTTTTTAATTCATGACGGAAACGAAATGAATTTATGTCTAGCTGATTCTCTAAATGTAAGAATGATGGTTTTCATGCGAAATTATGGAGAACGGACAAGGTATATGAAAGTGGTTTCCTACAAAATCAGAAGAGCGAATAATAAGTGAGATTCGTAGTCCCACGAAGAGGTACCTTGACACATATGTTGGATGGGTTTGGGAATGCAAACCATGTGTGAGTTTGCAGTATGTGACCTAGTCCGAACCTCTATTTGCCTTAAAGCATGCTTCTGCCTTTTCGATGCTCATGATTTTATCCAACACACCGACCCTTGCGACGTGGGGAAGAGAGGAAGAGGAGAGGAAGCCAATAGGAATGAAGGTCTTCGCTTCGAAGTTTGCCTGGGTTGGAGCCTTTGAATACTCGGATTGCGGTCCAAAAGGTGCTGAACGCATTTAACGGAAAAGCTAAGGGTTTCTGGCAGTAATTTTGAGTTAATATTTTGTCTTCGTCCCTATCCCAAATGGTCTCTCACAAACACTGATCCGGATGTCAAACAGTATTTAAAAAAGCACAGGATCCGGCGGGTGCTCGGATTGACGAGTCCCAATAGGACAAAATGGCCCTCTGACACTTTTCTGAACGTATGGTAGTTGTCTGGCTGAGTCCGGCTGCGACAGGTCTTCTCGGAAGCGCAATAAAACCCCATACTACTCACTACTAATGGTATTTTGTTTTTGTTTGCTTCCGTTATTTTTCCTGCACCTATTTTTATTAAAATTCAGTTGCACCCTATTGGGGAACAGTAGCTGCAGTGTTCCTAACCTCTAGCCCACGTGGATGGCTGTGTTGTCGTTGATGCGAAACATTCATCCCTATTCGCCCTTAACAATGTATGCACAATAGGCTCCGTTAGGTTAGAACCTTCTGGTCGAGGTTTTCTTCCACATTTGAGAGTGGAAGATGGAGCGGTTTATTACTCAGGCCCGATAATAACGGTTGGGAAGCGGATAACAATGGAATGTTAGGCGTCGGAGTACCCTTTGGGTTATTGAACGGTGTCGCACAAGCGCAATTTGTCTGTGATCTTCAATAAAGTAAAGCAAGTTTGCTACGATCACTTAGGTCCGATCCAAGTCGTAGACATACATTGTTACATCATGGCGTGATATAAATGTTTCGTTAAGAAAATACAGTTCTGAAACGTTAGTAAAACACTAGCACGACCTACCTATGTGGCCGTTTCTCAGGCTGTCCACTGAAAAAAATGTGTGTTCGTTGTTAAATGTATGGTCATAAACAGCCACATAATGTTGGCAATGATTCAATTAATAATATATTAGGAATAGGTAATTCTAGCATAGCAACGATGCACAGATTTGAGGGAAGTAACAACAAACAAACAGAAACCGCCTGCCTGCTACTTTATTTCCTTGCGCTTGAATTGCACAAGCTCCAACCACTCTGACTAACAAAGAAATATCATTGTTCATTCATGTTTGATGTTGTGTGTACACTTATCATGGTACTAATACTGTTTTTCATATAGGTACTGTTTTTTTCAAGGGGGACAGGAAGTGATCGTTTTCTCTTTATCAGTACCGGTCTTACCAAAATGTCGTGGACCGTCCTCCTCTCTCCGATGTTTTCATGGTTCGCTGTCTTGTCTAGTTGCCAGTGGTGCACGATCAAGTTGACTTAAATGCAGTGAAATATGGATTTAGTAGTTTGAATGACTATTTGGAAGTAATCTACCTTAGACTTCTTGCTAAGTTAGGAATCTGATCAAGCAACTTTTGTATACATTTAATTTTCTGACGCTCGCACCGTATGTCTTTACCATTTTGGTGCATTTAACTGTTCCATTTGGTCTCAAGTCCTAGGCAGTAAGAAATAACCTTATTGTCCAGTCACCGATCAACCTTCAGAACTTGGTGCAGTTTGAATTTGGACCCCTAAATTTGTTCCAAAAGCCTATGGAAGATTAAAATCTGATAAAAAGACAGAACGTACCCACATGTTGTTGCATGCGTCCAGCCACAGGTCCATCTTTCTCTATGTTTTTCTTCGTCACATTATTGAACAACTCGTATAACTGGTTCGGCAGCCCTCTGAGATAGTCACTGTTCATTACATCTTCTTCGCCGTCGAACGATAGGTGTAGATATCCTCGATTTGGATGTGCAAACAAAGAAACAAGTTGGCAGTCCATTTCATCCCCCGGAACATTCGTTAGCGACTCGAGTGCCATCTTCAACTGAAATAAATCATGTACAAAAAGGAAACAATTAACAAAAAATAAAATGTTCCTCCGTTAATTATCAGCTGCTGTCCAACCTCTTGTCTCGGTAACCCTGTGGACGTTTGGGCTTCCGAAGCCCGTATTAACATAGTACTGGTAAACTATTGGTTATTTTATCAAACGCCTAACTCTTGTCAAACGATACAGCATATGGGACTTAATATTTAAATGTTTATTATTGTGACAGTGCCTTCGTTATTACTCACTTACCCTATCACATATATCCTTCGTCACTGCGGCTTCTATCATTAGCTTTATTTCGTTCATATCATCTGTCCATTCCATGTCCTGACCATTCTTCAGGATATATCCCATCACTTCGAAATCTTTCATCAAAACGGACAAGATGGCAAAAGTGAATCATTGTTTATAAGCCAAATTATTGCATGCAGTATATACAAAAGTACATAATGTGAATTAGTCACTCACCGTTTTTATGACTTCCATTGGCAAACTCATCGCAGATTACTGTTAAAGTAAATAGGATGGATGACTTCTAAATATGTAATGATCACACAAGCTAAAGAAACTCTAATTTGTTACACCTTTACGCCGATACTTATGATTGAATCAAGCTCGACAGTGTTGCACTGAAGAGTTCGATCCGTACCGGTACCCAGAATCTCAATCCATATTGATCATAATTATTTTAGTAATATATACTTTGGGTCTGGAATGAAATAACATTAATTTAGGCGTAATCTCTAGTTAAGGACAAATAAAAAGTATAGTAATATACCTTGTGTTTTAGGATAATACAACACCATATCGGATGAAAGTAACATAACAAATGCTGTTCTGCATGATGGTTAAAAGTCGATCCAGGCAAACCCTTATACAATGATAGGCAAGTTCATCTTTTGAATTGATGTGCTGTGCCCAATAATATATCTTTGACCCACTTCAACATTACCTTACTTCTTTTAACACCGGTAACTACACAATCCATTTCAATCTAAAAGTAGTGTGGACTCACAAAGTACGAAGACAAGCACCCTTAATCTCAGCATCGTGAACAGCCAGGGCAAAATTATTTAGCCGGTAAACACACGGCTGTCTTTATATGTTTGATAACAGAGCTCAAATCCAATTGGCCCCAATACAATCTGGTTTTGCCAAAAATAGTTTGTGCTTGTCTTAGATCATTGAAAAAATTTGCAGGTCAGTTTGAGTGCACACTCCGCACAGAAGTACGCCTGCTGAGAGCGCCAGAATCATTTATGTAGAAATACCGGTCCAGGAAATTGAGCACGATAACAGTAGCATTCTTTCAATCACTTTTACCAGAAAACTGTTATCGTATAATGTACACATATTTTAGGTGGTAGATGTGCACCCAATACTTCAAGTACATTTGCTATATTGGCTCTGGCGTTTATATGAGCCAAAACATTTTACATCTCTTTGTGAAAACAGTTTTATTATTTTTACAACTGAAAGACACCTCTAGCAGTTCATGAAACAAGTTAAGTGGTTTTTCTCTATGTCGTGAATAATATCTAACCTTCACATGTGAAGAAAAGTTGTGATGTAAAATTATGCGTTTATTAGGAGGATAAGCATTTTGCCCAAACATCGCTAAACTCCACAACACCCCTGGTCTGGTGAGATAAATCCACTCCGTACGGTTTGATCGGTGAAACCCACAACAGGTAGAGACCTCTCGAAAGAAATTGCTTATGACATCTAGCATAGTGGTATACACCTTCCTTAGCACTGAAGCGTCTATGATCTAGATTCAGTCAGATAATGCAGCCAAGCGATAGAGTGAAATGGGTAAGGATGTATTATCCAACGTTCCCCAGTCTCGTTATGCTACCTACCATAAATCATGCAAACAGTCAAAACGAGTAAGCTTTTTTTACTAAGAAAAGTATTGGCTGGACTCACCAAAGGAAGCGAATATGGTTTGAAACATTCAGACCTAGATACCTTGCTTGGTAAATTTGTATTTATTGGTATGTACGGTATACTTAAAGGAACAAAGTTACCATTTGGCAGGGCATGTATGGCATCGCTCCCTTCCTACCTACTGGGCACTGTCCACAGTCCACGGAATCCTGTATTCTAGGCAACCACACTTACCTCATGTGACCGACTAATCTTTACGTTTTAGGTGCTGTTGGGTGCTGTTTTCTCCAAATATGAAAAAGCATGGTAGAATTATTCCATTTTCTTCTAATTATACAGGGATAACTAAACCTGCGATGGAAACGGCGACGAATGGTTTGTAGGTACAGGTCTACAACATTGTCACACAGTTACCTTGCCAACTACATCACAATCTAGCCTAACTTTCTACTGGGTTCTTATGTTGCATGTGTTCTGTAAATGAATTTATGCAGGCGATTTCAGGTTGAGTCCTGATGTCCTTTAGACTAACTTGCGGTCAGGTTGCTTATTGAGACCGAATGGGCGGCGTTGGTGTCGTTTATGAAAGTAGCCCATTGGACTGTCTGTAGTTTAATGCCCGTGATTTGTTGTCTAGCTGAATTAACATAATCCTCACTACGGGTGATATGAGACCATAACAGACTGTGGTTGCTGTCTGCCTATATCTAACTGCGACTAATCTATGCAAAACCTTAAAACTGTTGATTCAATACGTAGTTGGTACAAACATAAAGTTGCTAAATGTGTGATTTTCTTGCTTACATACTGGGGACAAGCATTTAAGCAATATTTTGCCCGTGCTAGTTTGGCGAACGGTTTCCTATACAACATTACGAAAGGTACGATAAGCTAAACGTACACCTATATTGGACAAGCGATGCAAATGTGCCGGATTTTTTTCTATTTTCATGCAAAGACTTAGCCGGCTGCAGTGTAGGATTTTATCGCTTACACGTGTCGCGAAACATGCATTACTCGCCCTTCTCATGGTTCGGTCGGAGCAAGTACAAGCCTGACTTTGTCCAGATTGAGCTAATAACTTAAAGTCAATCAGCACTAGTGCATGCTGGGTTTCGGTGGCTGACCAAAACCAGACATTAAAGCAGCAGCACTCCGCATTAGATCGGAAACTGAGGAGCTTGGCTGAGTTCTACTGAGGTAAACACCATCAATCTCATGCGGCATATCGCCACGTAATTCAACCGCTACTTGTGACACACTGAAACCAGTATTGGGAAGCAGACATTTGTGGGGACTGTATAATGCCCAGAACCAAATTAAACGATGACTAGTGACAGGCGATCACATGACTACAACCCACAACCCACTTGGCATTGCAGTTGAAACTACAAATGTGGCACGGGTCCACCGGCACTCTAACTGTAAGCACTACAAGGAATCAAGTCCCCTGCGAGTTGAATTGAACTAGATCACGGTAGTAGACTCCGTCCCATTGTCGCTGATTCGTCTCAAATGTAATATTACTCCATCCATATTTTTCCGGTTATCTGATGAAGCAAACGCTAGCAGGGTAACTGTATTAAAACTCAACTATAAGAAATTTTTAGCTTGAAACATCGTTGGCCGCAGCTTTCCGAGGCCGAATTATGCGATGCACATATAGTAACATCTCTTGACAATAAGAAATGCCGTTAAATTTGTGCTACACGCTACTTTAAGGCGTGTTGGCAGAGTCGATGTCCGGTTACGTAGAACACGAACCTATGAAATATGCAGCCCAAAGGTTTTAAAATAGTTCTCCAGTGATAACATATCTCAGTAGGGTGAGTAAAATACTAACACTTGTTTCGGTTCAGGGCACAAGCTGAACTGCTGTAGACGGTGGCGAGAGATATGCCTTCAAATATAAGATATCCTTAAAGAAACAAAAGCAACAGGTATTTATTCCAACACTATACCATCAGCGTGTCTGATGGGCACATGCAATGTCGTGGTGAGACGAACGACCAATGTAAACAATCTGGAGGTATCGGGACCTCTCAGTGAACCGTCCAAAGTCGAACTGCGTACATATATCGAGGACCTTCCTTTAAACAATCATGGCAGCTCGCCCGCTAGATTCAAGGCAGCAAGCTAAGCATCCGTATTAGACATTGTGCTCATTAATGAAGAGCTCATGATCGATCAGATATTGATAGAGAGTTCATTAGTTCGCAGTGACTATGCAGTCATAACGTTTAAATATGTTTGTTATACACTGAATCCAAATGAACATAGGGAAGTAACTCATAATCTCACACGCTACCACGTCATAAATGAACTTGTCGAGGCGCCAACTTAAGATTTCTCAAACAAAGGTTCCCTAGACAGCGTTTGTACAATTCGTTGAAACTCTCAGCGATATGGTAGACAGAGTACCAAAAACCAACCCATTCCGTTTCGCAAAAGTGTCACCAATTGTACGAAGCGGGACTCAATAGTGCGAAGCGATGGGGATGCAGCATGGAATGCCTACAATGCGTACCAAACCCAGATGACTGGATGAAATTTCTGACCAGCTAAATACATCGTACAATACTTGTCCGTGAACACTGAATACGCTGTCGTGGGCGAAAGCAGTAATTTACATCCATGCAGCTCCAACACAATTTAATCGAAATGTTATAAAAAAAGTACCTGCCCCCGTGATAACCTAATCATTCTTCCAATTCGCATACAGCATTTTAAAATGCCTGACATACAGTTTCACTAGGCTCAGCGAGGTTAGATTGTATCGCTAATGTACAATCGTTCTCTGAATCGAAATGGTGGTGAAATGTAAATCTAACAAGGTTTTGAACTGCTACACTGATTTAGTCTCCAAGACATGTTCGCCAGACCATTCCAAACATTTGCCGTTCTCCTTTCTTAACACAGGGGTTGGGGTACTATTTCTATATCCAGCCCCAAAACTTTGTACCGGTGTGAGCGTGTGCCCCTTGGTGTTCTTGAGTGAAACAGCGGCTTCAGCATAGGTAAGTCACCGAGATGTAATATACGGTAGGTCATGATGAGATTGACTCACATTGAGGATATGAAAATGTGTCGAGTCCTAGTATTTCTCACCGGTCTTCGTAAAGTAATCCTGGTAAACATGGAATGAACCCGGTAACGACTTGTCGGACCTTATCGATCTTCTGGGCCTCGCCTAAGATTGACTAAAGAGTAAGCTGCATGGAGGATCCGTGATGTCTTGCGGAAGTAGTCTGCAGTCACTTCGAGTGCTAACCACTCTTCAAATTTTCAGGTCAATCGCAGACAGGGCACATGGTGACCGATGAAACTGAGGTAAATCGTTGAGGTGGTTAGGAACAGAGTGGGCTCCAGCACTGTGGTTTGCGGAACGCCGCTTTTAGAGGGATACAAGTCAGTCAGATCGTTATCGGTTTGTATCCCCCACTTTCGTTCAACGAGGAGGCCCTGGATACACTGGTGCATTG